AGGTTCAAGTCTAAACATCATCATGAGTCAAATCCTAAAAAATGTATGGGTGAGATAACGGTTTGAGCCAATCGCTGATGTTTGACTTTCAGGAAGCAAATGGGCAGCGACTGGCAATCACTTTAAATTTGTAACCAAAGATCTTGGAATAACTCTGCTTGCTTAAATTTGTACAGTGGTGCCTCTACTTAGGACCATAATCCATTCTAGAAGATGGATGTAACTTGAAATGGTCATAAATCGAAGCACCATTTTCCATAGGAATGCACTGAAATGCAATTAATACGTTCTGGCCGGAAAAAACCATACACACACACACCCCAAAAATCACTGCAAGACTCATTGGAAACATCATTAATCCCTTCCGGCCAAAGAGGGAAAAAAAAGAAAAGCAATCAAGCGTGGAAGACCCATTGGAAATGCACAGAAAACAAACGAAGCAGATTGAAAATGCACAGAGAACAAAGGGGGCAGGTCGGAAATGCAAAGAAAAAAAGGAAAAGGCAAGGGATGCATGCAGGATCCATCGGAAATGGGGAACCCCCCCAAAAGCAACCAACCCCCCAAGACCCATAGGAAATGAGGAAAAAACCCAACCAACAAACAAAACCCCAAAACCCATCAGAAATGGGGAAACAAACTCCAAAAAGCAACCAAACCCCCCAAGACCCATCAGAAATGGGGGGGAAACATCAAAAAACAACCCCCAAGACCCATCACAGCACAGAAACAACCCCCCAGCTCAAAACCACACTGCAAAAACACCAAGAACAGTTTTTAAAAAGCAGAAAATAGCGCCTTACCATACAAGGCAGCCCGAAGCCTCCCTGCAAACACATATACACATTCTCAGAAGCAGGAGGAGGCAGTCCCGAGCCTCCAAAGATGACACACACTCTCTAACTGCTGGGGTGAAAGAGCTACAAAGAAGCAGCCTCGTCGCCACCTACAGTTAGAAATTTGAATTTCCCACCTTTTTTCCCTGTCTTTTTCTGTTCGTAAGTGGAAGCTCCAGTCGCAAGTAGAAACAAAATTTTGTGGCCAGAGCTGGTCATAACTCGAAATGGTTGTAAATAGGGACGTTCATAAGTTGAGGCAGCACTGTATACTATTCTTTTAATTTATTTCCCTTAATGTTTGGTACTTAACAATTTTTGTACTTCCTGTACTTTTTGTAATATTCTGCTGACAGAAATCTAACTACTATAAGGTATGTTCTTCTTTATTGTTTATCCAGAAATATAATATCTGGCTCATTAAAATCAATTGTTTCATCTGTCATAACTTTTAGTATAATGTTCTGGTTACATTTTTCAAAAACTAGATGTGGCTGGAATTTATAATAAGAAGGAAAATATGTTAACAGTTGATAAGCTACTAAAATTATCTTTGCAACTTGATTATGACTGCACATATAATTCATTAATGCTATTTTAGGGCATCAAGGTATGATATGATGAATTGTTTCTTTGGATTCATGACAGGCTCCACATATATCACTTATACCTTGTTTCATAATTACTTTCTGATGGTGTCTAGTGCAAATAACTTAGTCCTGGATTGCATATATGAATCCCTCAGTTTCCGCCTGTAGACAGCCTAATTTACGACACAGGTATGATTGTTGTTTATCAACATTATCATCCAGGAGTTAGCCAGAGTGCTGTCCATATAAAGGTTTCTCAGGCCATATTATTCTTTTGCTGTGAAACTTTCATTAATGTAGATTGGTTCTTACTTCTTACTTTACTATTACTCTACTATCATCTGATGAAGTGGAAATTGTTCTGAAGTTTCACTATTTGACCCGTACAGAGATTCCTGAAGATGACCAGCCTACACCCATCCATGCTCCATGGCAAAAAAGGCGCTCCTTACATGCCTCTGGATGATGCTGCCAGTATTTTGACAGGGTATTTTTTTTCATTTAAATTATCGAGATCTCTGTACTTCCAGCCTCAGGGTGCTAGCTTCAAGGTAATGGTATCAACATACAAAGCCCTAAAATGGTTTGGGGCCTAGTTATCTGGCAGAATGCCTCCTTCCGTCCAGATCTGCCTGTCCTGTAAGATCTTCCCAGGCTGAGCGGTTAAGAGTTTTGACCCTGCGTGACCAGAAACTGGACCTTCTCAGTGGTTACTCCGCAATTGTGGAATAGTCTCCCACCTGAAATATGCCTGGCACCTTCACTGGGAATTTTTAAGCAATTACTAAAAACAGTTATTTAGACAGGCCTTCCCGGACTCTATTATACCCTGATACAATAGCACTCAAAAAACTAGATATTTGCTAATGTTCAACCACCCGTCATGCTTTCATTACTGATATTATTTTCATTTGTCCATATTGTATTGACTATTCTGTATTATTGTTCTGATATTGTACTGTTTTGCCTTTGTACTTTTGTTTTATTGTACTGTGTAAACTGCCCAGAGTGACCTGAGTTGCCAGATGGGCAATACAGAAATCAAACAAACAAGGAAGTAAATCATATTGATGACAATAATTTTTCCTTTTGCATCAAATTATGTTCTGTATTTGTTCCTGAATAATAATTTATGTTCCTTGTGGTATATATTGTGATTTTTATGGACGCCTCCATATTTATAAGTTTGCTGCTCGTCTAAGCATTGAATAAACTGCCCACTAGGAAGCGCATAGTTACTGCCTTCTGAGAAGCTGCCTTTTTTCATGTGGATAACAGCACATTTAAAAACACCAAAGTTCACATTGATATCTATACTGTAACACTCAACAATGTTTAAGAGACTACTCAGTTTATCGTGAGAATTTGCAAGCAACTTAATATAATCCATATACATCATGTGCATATGGACATCATCATCATCATTATGGGATTGTTGTTGTTGTTGTTGTTGTTGTTGTTGTTGTTGTTGTTGTTGTTGTTGTTGTTGTTCCCAAACAGAGCTGCTACAGGATAATTGAAGATAATCTTTGAACAGAACAGCACCACACTAGTAGACAACTAGATACAGTCCCTGAAAGCAATAGGAGGCTGACTTATGGTAGAAATTGAATATACAGTACATGGTATAAAAGGCATAGGCAGAAGAAACGCAAGCACATTTCCATAAGAACTAGCAGGCTTATGGTTCTTCTAAGGACATACCTTCAGGTTTGTATTTTTGCTACCTCTCCTACACAGCTGCCTGCCTCAGCAGACCAGAGGTATAGCTGCAGTGTGGGGCCATGGCAAGTATGCATTAAAATGATTATTTCTCATACATTAGAAATGGCTAATGTTAACACATCTGCCCAAAGCTCATGGCTTTAAGCTATATGAACCCACCCTGTGTTCAGACAGAATTGAGGTGAATGTGATACTATGTAGATATAACAGAGAAATCAGGAAAGAAGGAGGAATGCCTTCCTCAATGCTTACCTACAGTATGTGGTATAATTTAAAGACTTCCTTGGGGGGAAGGGTTTCATTTGATAAATATTTCTTCCACCTCAAAGTAGAATTAAAAGAGCTAAAATTGCCCAGTAGAAAAAAGATGATATATCTGTTCTTGTTAATTGTGGGATAAGAATCAAATATGGGAGTTAAAAATATCACCTAAGTTCATCAGCTTCTAAGCACACCTGCTGTTCTCCATTTCAGTCTCAAATACTTCCAGGTCAGAAAGGTGAATAATTATTAGAGAAGATAAACCAGAATTATAAAGGCATTGAACTGACTGTTTTTAATAGGGTCTTACCAATTAACTGTCACTCCAGGGAATACATTCTATTCTGAACGCAAATGTATTACTAAAAGAAATGCTATTAACAATTACTCTATGTTCAACCGGAACATTAGCTCCAGAAACAGACAGGATCACTTCCTTAAGTCTGCCAACCTTTTAGCAAACAACACTGGCCCTTTAACAGATGGGACACATGCTTTGCTGCTTGCCAGGATCCTAATAAAAGACACTGTCTTCTGTAAAATGAAGGACACATCCCTCTCAAATTGCCAGCATCCAAGCTGGGGGGCAGAAGTTTAAAATACAGAAGTGACCCAGAGCAGCAATACCAGATGTATATTACAGAAACTGCAGTGGCGCTGGAGCAAGCCTTGGCCAAACACTAAATAATCTGCTCACTCCATGGGAAACATAGATTCAGGATCAGCACCACCTCTACCAAGGAGGCTGCCTTTTAAAAAGGACCATAAACAGCCCACGGGGATGCTTTATGCATATTTTTTTTATCTAGAAAAGCATTTTAAGAATAAATTGCAACACCAAACAACAGTTTGAACAGAACAATAAATATTGCATGGAGGACCACTCACTGCTTGCGACTCACCAAACTAACTGCAGCTTTAAAATCCCACAGCCAGCATGTGGTTTGAAAGACACAAATGTAAATCTCAATTATTCCAAATATTCCTTTGGAATAATATTTTTTTGCTTTTGGGATGCTAACTATTCTTCCAAAGGAAACAAAACAGCATGGCAGAGTAGGCAGCACAGGCAGAGCAAAAGACAAGGATCACCAGAATGAATCTATTCCTTGGGTATTTTTATAAGGATGTTAATATGCTCCATGATCCCACAGTGCAGCTGCAAGTGAATAAAGCCACTTCAAAAGTGGCATGTTGCCTTTTTTTCCCCCTATGCAGCAAGAATAGGACTGGGGAGACAATGTCACTTCGCTTGAAAGTGAGATGAAGTCTGATTGGGCGTGAGCTGCAAGTTTAAGCAGAATGTCTATCGGTGGCCCGTTGGCCACTATCAAAGACTGGTCCCAGGGAGTGAAAGTCACTACTAAGGAAAACAAGGAATAAAGGCAGCATATGGAAAGAGCAGAGCATTGGTCATTATTGTTCAAGAGCCCAGAAAGAGTTTGAATAAAGGGAAATAGTGTGTCTGCTTAAGACAGGTGGGGAAAGGAGTGTGCGATACTATCTCTGGAGTAAGTTCCCAAGGCTTCCTGCTGCCAACCGCTCATCCTGCCTCGTCCGCCAATACAAGGTGAAACACCTTGCTCACCTTTCCCGCTCCTCCTTCATCTTTTCGAGGTCCTCTTCTTTGAGAGCAGCATGCTTGGAGTTTCCTTTCTGATCACTTTTTGCAGCTTTGTCCTCTTTCTTCTTGCCAAACCTGATTAAAAAATTAAGAAAGGTCACATGGCATGAGCCTCAGATAGTACAGTACAAAAAAAGTGCTTAGGAATCAAGCAACACACTGGGTGACTTAACCTAGAGCAGTGTAATGCGCTTTTGCTTGACTGGCGCCTTCTGAAATAAAGTGGATAATGCTATTCAATAAACTAAAAATTCCTCAGAGTACAAATTAACTAATTTTCCATACACTTGGAGCTTAATTTTTCCAAGACACTATGAGTAATGTATGCTAGAGATTTGTTAAGATGGCAAACGAATTGGGTTTTCAATGCTGAACTATTATTAGCATAAATTTTAAAGCAGCTGAAGGGTCTTCGTTCCCCAAGGACAGCTTGTGTATAAGTAATCCTTGGCAGCCTTCAAACCAGTGCAGCAAATCATGACACCATGTTCCTCTCTTCTCAGTATAAGTTGGTACTCCATCATTCATAGCCTGGATTGTACTCTGCTCAACTCTGAAACCAGCATCGCAACGAACAATATTACAGTGTAAAGACAAAATTGGGCTAATTTAAGAAACTGTTCTTTACAAACATCAATATTCGAAAATAAGTAACTTGCAGGCAGTAATGATCGAAAAGCTGCAAAAACAGCAGTTTTCCAGCATGCTATGGTGCGAATTTTCAAATGGCAAAAATGATTCAATAGCATAGAGAACTTTACCTTTTTGTACTCAGACTGCTGTTTCTATAAAGACCACTCTATGCTGATAGTTGGAATCGAATACAGAAAAATCTTAATATTTACCTTAATGAATTGTGCTACTTTTACTAGCTCAAATCTGTAGCCAATTATTTTGTTGAAATTTCCAACATTCATGCCATTACATTCCAGTCCTGCCCCACACACCCCAAAACAGATGGGTTTTTAAAAACACGTACAGTGGTGCCTCGCAAGATGGGTGCTCTGTTTAATGACGAATCCGCATTACGACGAGGTTTTTGCGATCGCAAAATGACGTTTTGAATGGGGGAATTTCGGTGCACGATGATTGGTTCCCTGTTTCGGGAACCGATTTTCGCTTCCCAATGATCAAAACAGTTGATCGTTGGGTTTTTTAAATGGCCACCGGGTGCTCAAAACGGCTCCCTGCTGTGGTTAGGAGCCATTTTTTGCTGCACAGGCACCCGAAAATGGCCGCCCCTATGGAGGATCTTCTCTGGACGGTGAGTTCTTAGCTGATTGGAATGCATTAACCAGGTTTTAATGCGTTTCAATGGCTTTTTAATTTTCGCTTTACGATGTTTTCATTCTACAGCGATTTCGCTGGAATGAATTAACATCGTAATGCAAGGCACCACTGTATAAGGACCTACGTTGTGCAAAGAGCTGCATACTGATGGGACGACACACATCTCAAGGTGGGAGAACTTTGCAGACGTAAGGCTACAACTGAGAAGATCCTGACTCCTATGCCTACCAATCTAACAAGGCCTCAAAATATGATCTTAAAGCAAGAGAGGTAGAAAAGGCATCCTTGGAATAACCCAATCAAGTGGTCCTTGGACAAGTATCACAACACTGGAAAAGCATGGAGCAAAATTGGTTTCATAAGAAATGCTACCACAAAGTAGGTCTTCTACTATTAACAATTTGAATAGAAGCGCATAACAAGCTTTTCGCATTTCATTCACAATATATGCCTAATGTCATCTCTGTGAGGCACAGACAGGCAATTCCCAGGGATTGGTTCAGGACTCTAGAGGGCTGCTTCTCTTGGCATTCTGTTTACAACTTTGCACCCTGTCTGTAGCTTGTGTGACTAGGAGAGAGCAAAGAAAGCAGCATGCACAAGTCCATAATTTCTGGCAACTGTATGTAAAGAAGCGGAATTTTAAAATTCTTTCTCCTAGAAACGCCTCGGAGTAAGTTACTGAGACTTTAAGTGCTAGTGAGCAGCATGCACAAGTCGATAATTTCTGGCAACTGTACGTAAATAAGCGGATTTTTAAAATTCTTTCTCCTAGAAATGCCTCGGAGTAAGTTATGAGATGCGAAGTGCTAGTTAATGAGAAAGGGGTGGACTATCAGAGGAACTCAGGTCTTTTCCTCTGTATATCTCTGTACTTCTAAATTTTAAAATTCTTTCTCCTAGAAACGCCTCGGAGTAAGTTACTGAGACTTTAAGTGCTAGTTAATGAGAAACGGGTGGACTATCAGAGGAACTCAGCTCTTTTCCTCTGTATATCTCTGTACTTCTACTGTGTAGCAAAAGAGAATTCTGTTGGAAAATTCAGAACTTTGCAACAATACCTGCAGCGTATTTTCAGCCTCTTGAGGAGAAAATGTAGCCTAAAAACTGACTGTTTCTTCAGAAGCCTCCAGGAGGTGAAAACTGGTGATTTAGGGTCACTCTCACACCCAAACCCACACCCACCCATATTCCTTTAGACTTCTTCAAAACTGGACCTGTCTTTCTAGTCACTTTGAAAGAGGAAATAAAGTTACTTGGAGGAGCTAAAACAGGATGAAGTACAACCTGAAATGACTAACTGCATCACCCTCCAACTTCTGGAATATAACCACCAATGTTGTAGCCCTCATACATCTTCTGTGCTGGGATGGACCAAAATCCAGGGGTTCAAAACCAGCCGAAGGGTTGCACTTCACCTATGACTCGCACTTTGGTCACCTCTTGTTGTGAGGGATGGCATTCATCCTTCTATACTCGTAAAGCTAGGAGTTGAAATTGTGTAGTTTACCTGAACAACTATCTCCCTTGGTTCAAATGCTACCTTCTGTCTATTGGGTCTTTGCAGATGATTTTACATAAAACCAAAAGGTATCCAACAACCACATTTTGTATTTATCTGTGTAATTTTCAGGTGATTTTTTTTTCAACTTCTTTTGTGGCTCTCTAAAAATGTTATTTTATTCATTAAACAGCTCTCCATGGCCTCTAGCATGTTGGCTGAACTGTATTTTTCTGGTATATTGGCGTTTCTCCAGTGAAATTCTGAGTTTCACTGCAACTTGATACAGTATAACTCAAATTACTAATGAATTCAAGCAGCGAGCCTACGGCAAAATTCACCTCTAAAATGTAACACATTGCCTTAAGACATGTATTCAAGTACAGTGAGAACAGTCTTAACAGTGAGAAAGAAAACCACAATCCAATAGGCATGACATCTGTATGAAGTGGATATCCTAATGCATCTATTGAGAGGGTGGGGTTGCTCCAGAAGAAAAAGGTCAATTGGAAGCTCTGTCAAAGGACCTCTGTGCCTATCTAGCTTCACAGTGACTGTAATCTGCTAGCTTCAGCTTAGTTTACCTGCCACTGGTCTATAAAGCCCAACATACACAGAACATTCTGCCAAGTCATAGCCTACAAATGCCTTCTAAAGTCAAATCACCCCACTAAGAAACAATATGTATCCAGCATGGATTCAGAAAGATAATTATTGCAGTCTTTGGAGATTTTGACGACTTTCCTAAGGGTGTGTATGTGTGTGATCATGCTGGCTGGGGCTTCTGTGAAATAAAGTGGAAAATATTAGAAGACTGGAGGTGTAGAACCACTCATGCCCTTTGAAAAGAATAGTATTTAACTCTGGTGAGGTGGGAGAGTACAAGTCCTTGAAAGGTACAGAGGTTATGAAGCCATTCAGAAATGTGCTAAGTACTACATCCCTTTTTGCTAGAAAAAACAAGAAAATATTTTTTTCTGTAGAGCCCCTAGCATGCATGTTCAGCTGCTCTTTCCACTCTTAGGGGCTAGAATGTATCTTTCTTTGAACAGGGATTTCTTCCTAGCCACTGTTCAGACATACAGTATTGGGCCCCTCCCTTCTGCACTTCTTCCTAAGTACGTACAGTGCTGGCTATGTCCAAGGAACAGGTGGAAAAAGAGCCAGAGTGAAATATAAGCCTGACAATACGAAGAGAACACGAGTGGAAGGCAAGCACCTTCCCTCTCAAGAGCATCAGCACAAGTTTCTCTGCAGGAAGCTTTCACCACTTCCTGCTTTCCCTCTAGTGCCTCAAGTTGGAAAGAGAAAACATTGACCCATAAAGAAAGCCTCTTTTTTTTTCACTTGAATCTCTAGCAGGCAGAAAAGATCATCCGGAAAAAGGAGGGTGATTTATGCTCCAGGCCAGATCAACAAGCATCCCCCCTGCTCCCCGATAAAGCATATAGGAAGCTCAAGCTGCTGCAAAGTACTCAGTGTATGTATAGCCATTCATCATTTTACAGCTTTCCTGAAAACAGGACATTCACAGATCACACAAGCATGTACCTATAACATCACACCATGCTCAGACTCCTGTTATTTGCCAAAAATCTAAAGAGTGAAAAGAGGATTTCCATGTAACTATCATACAATTTTTGCAAATATAATTACATGCATAGTGTAAAATGGCCCTCAGACCGATTCTGGAAAGGTCTGAATCTAATAGCAACTGAGAAGAGAGCTTCCTTGTCTAATACAAACATACTCAATGGATATGAGAGCCTACATTATACCTTGCATTTTGGCCCCATTCCAGATCATACATTTGTTCTTACTGCCTTCCCTTCTGACACAATTTAATCAAGCCTCGGGTATAGTATTTGATTTTGCATTCATAGATTCTTTTTAAAAAACATTATTCCCTTGATGTTCCATAATATTACAGGGGGGAAGTCAGAACATGTTGCATAATAGAAAGAGGTGCAGCAGCTTCAACAATTTACCTGTCCCTCATCTTCAAATCTGGACACTCTCTTTTACACAAAACAAGTATTTACAGCAGGGGTTTTAAACTCAATTTACCTGGGGGCCACGAGAGACAGAGTCTGGGTGAGGCTGGGGCACATCAGATTTTCCGCCAAGCGGAGCAAGAGCCCGAGGAAGCCACCCAGGAGTTTCCTTAGCCGACAGACAGGTGGGCGGGCTGGCAGGCTGCAGTTCTGGATGGAGGGTGCAAGAGGTGTTGTCTTGGGAGAGAGCCGGCGAGCAAGGCAAGGCTTTTTTTTTTTACTCTTGACAG